ATTGGTTGACGCGGCAAAAATTCAATTTTTCCATCTCGAGCAGCAACGCGTTTGCGGCGCGTCACGCACGCCAGCTGCGTTCGCCTGTCTGCTAAGCTCAAAACAACCGCGCCTGGCTTGACGGAGAAACCAGGAGAACAGCTGAGCATATTTACGACAGTGCACTTTTACTTTCGCCCTTTGGGGGTGCCTCGCTGGAAAATCAACACCGGTTGCATAGTGTACCTTTAACAGAAATATGTGTTCCCTGGAGCCTCCTTCAGGTTGGACATGCCTGGAACATCTAACAAGAGAGGAACCCAGGTGGTTCACCCTATCTCTGAGGAAGAGCCCAGCCACCATGCAGAGGAAGCTTATTTCACACCTTTGTATCTGGTTCTTTTGCTCATGACCTAAAGTTTGAGAACATAGGTGAGGTTAGGAATGTAGATTAACCAAAGACTATACCTTTTAGCTCAGCTCCATCTTCCTTTCTATTCTTCTTTCACTCCTGAAGTAAACCCCAAGATAACCAAGCTCTTCCACTTCAGACAGGATCTCTCCTTCAACCTCCATTTTCCACTAGTATTACTATGAAGTACATTTTAGCACAAAGTTTACAAATATAACCTAAGAAAATACAAAGCAATATGCAAGTTTATTTAAAAAAAACAAACAATAAAATAATTATATAAGAGCGTAAAGATTACCAAATCTCCACATTAACCTGTAGATGGAATCTCCATATCATCCTATTACCTCTAATGAAGCGGTGATGTTTTTGGTAGCTATGGTTTGTTGGATTAGGTTATGGAAAAAGTTGTGAACAGATGCTCTTAAATTGGGCTGATTTTGCCAAACTGATATTGTAACTGTTGTTTTATTTTATTTTAGCTTTCCTCTACGCTAACCACAAGCATGTAGATGTTTTAATCCAGGATTTTATTGTTTGATGACCTTGAAAGCTTGCTCTTGTTGATTCCGTTATCACAGGACTTTAGCGTTACTGTTAGGCGCATGCATGATCACAAGGCTGCTAGCTGCAACATTGTCTTCCTTCTGTGTGGTGGCCAACCCGCCTTAAGCTCATTAAAGCTAATAAAATGTAATGTAATGTGACCAAAATCAAGGGCCTATGCAATTTGAAAATAGGTTTAATTGCGATTATATTGCAAATGCAGTTAATTGCGCTACTTTGGAATTTGTTTTTTACTAAGGGTATGTCTCAGGCTAGCTTAGAAGCCATAAAACCGCAAAGGTTTGGGAACCACTGAGACACCCCTCCAAATAACACAACAGATGGGCGTATGGATGATGCTTGTCCAACTGGGCCTACATTTTTCCATAGCACAAAGAAGAAAGCGTAAACAGCAGGAGAAAGAAAGAGCATGAAAAATAATTAAAGCTAATTATATGTCCGAGGAGTTTTTGACGTTGGCCAATTTAACTGATTCAGATTTAATAATTACTTTCTGTTTTCAAAGTGTTAGAAGAGCTAGTAGCTTTTTGTTAAAATATCACTATTAATATGATAATTGAACATGTACAGACCTTCCAGGTAATTGCCAGTTGTTACGTTTAATGCTTAGAGTAGCATGTGTAAATTTAACAAACACAAAAAACTCACGAAAAATCTTTCTCTTCATTGTTTTCACCGTCTCCCTCCATTATCATCCTATATATTTTTTCACCCTTGACACCACTGTGAGCTTTTTGATCAGATGAGATTTAGATGGTACTAACTCAGCAGGTTTGCTGAATTTAAAACCATTTATGAACAAGTGGAAAGCACTCCACACCCACTGTGGAGGACAGTGGAGGAGTTATGCTGGAGTGTGGCATCATAAAGTCTTTGAAGCAGAGCTTTTAAATAAAAAGCTGGGGCCTAAAAAAAATCGAATGTCATGTGACCAAATGAAAAGAATAGGTTCTGAGACACAACCTAAGCGTTCTTCCATGGTCATCTCAATCCCCAGTAGAGGGTATAAGGGAGGAGCATGGAAGTACTGTCATGGTGGCAAATGGGGTTGTAGTATTAATACAAATGTTCTCAAATTTAACATGTAAGTTTTTCAGAAAAACATGTATTTTTTTGTAAAATTACCCTTTTCCCTATTAAACAAATGTCCTCAAATTACATTAAGGTAAATCTGGCTTATCCTGCGTCTTTAAGCATGAGCTCATCCTTCTGCCATAAGATACGGGGTTCCTTCCAGAATGTACAAACAGATAAACCCTGTTTATTTGTCAATTCTCACTGAAAACTACAGTTTTAATTGGGTGTTTATCAAAAGGCTTATTTTGAATCCGGGTAATGGGGTATCCCCTTTGATTGCACGCGGACTCACAGATCGAGCCGAGCCTTTAATCTCTTCAGCAGCCATGCTGTGTGTGGGAGGTTATGTGTGAATGAAGGAAACCGCTGCCTTGTGAGGATCCAGGCCTGTGATGTTACAGGTTTCATGTGAAAGCTGGGCTAAAATAGGTGTCCCTCTGTCACCTGCCCACAGCTCATAGTCGATGTGTAGCAGCAACAGTGTTCAGCTCCACTGATGCGTTCGGTGAGGAGTCTGTTTTAAAATTTACATGATTTGTTTTGCAAGTAATCAACTGCAAAGTGTTTTTTTTTTCTATTGTGGACCAAACACACGCTGATTAATTCGGTGACTGGTCTTCTTTGAAAAAGCTTTAACTCCATAGAGACTGTTAGGGGGACAACTTGAATCTGTGCCATGTGTAAAACCTTGTATATGAAATCCTCCCATTTGTCTGTCTCCTACAGCTCTTGATGGCTGTCACTTACTTTTATTAGGATTTCAGCTGGTTTTCCTCAGTAGACAAGTAAGGGATAAACACAAATACACTGCTCAACAATATAAAAGGAGCACATAAACAGCACAATATAAGTTCAATCAAATCAAACTCCTGTGAAATCAAATCGTCCACTTAGGAAGCAACACTTATTGACAATCAATGTAACATGTTGTTGTACAAATGGAATACACAACACAAAGAAATGATGGGCAATTAGCAAGACGCACTCAATGAAGGACTGGTTCTGCATGTGGGGACCATAGACCACTGCTTAGTACCTATGCTATCTAGTTTATGTTTTGGTCACTTTTGAGTGTTGATGAAGTTTTCTCACTTGTGGCAGCATGAGAATCTACAACACACACAAGTGGCTCAGTTAGTGCAATTCATCCAGGATGGCACATCAATGCAAGATGTAGCAAGAAGGCTTAATGTGTGTCTGTCAGAGTAGTGTTCAGAGGTAGGAGGTGCTACCATGAGACAGGCAAGCACACCAGGAGAAATGTCGGACACCATAAGAGGGCAACAATCCAGCAGGAGGACTGATACCTCTGCCTTTGTGTGAGTAGGAACAGGAGGAGCACTGCCAGATCCCTGCAATATGACCAAACAAAAATGTGTCTGCACAAATAGTTAGAAATTGACTCCATAAGGATGGTATGAGGGCCCAACATTCACACATGGGAGTTGTGCTCACAGCCCAAAACTGTGCAGGATGCTTAAGACTTGCCCAAGAACATCAGGATTGGCAAATTCACCACTGGCATGCTGTGCTCTTCACAGATGAAAGCAGGCTCTAACATGTGAAGACACGACAGAGTCTGTAGACACCATGGATCTCCTCCCAGATCTGAACTAAAGCAACCCCCCCGTTCCCCAGGCCTGATTTAGATGGAGCACTTCTGGGACATCATGTCTTGATTTATCCACCAATGCCACGATGCACTACAGAGTATCCAGGAGTTGTTGGATGTTTTAGTCCAGGTCTGGGGGAAGATCCCTCAGGAGAACATTCGCCACCTCTTCAGGGGCATGCCCAGGTGCTGTAGGGAGCTCATACAGGCACAAGCAGGCCCTACATAATACTGAGCCTCATTTTAACCTGTTTTAAGGACATTACATCAAAGTTAGACCAGAATGCAGTTTGTTTTCCGACTTTAATTTTGTGTCTGACACCAAGGCCTCCATTGGTTAACAAATTTGATTTACGTTGAAACTGTTTTGTGTGAATTAGTTCTCAACACATTCAGCTTTGTACAGAACAAATTATTCAATGAGAATTTCTTTAAGTCTTTCAGATAGTCTTTCGGAAATATAATGTTATTTGAGTGTTCACTTTATTTTTTTGATAAGTGTAAGTTACCAGACCTAAAAACCCATCAAAAAATCTGATTTATATAATCAAAATGTTGCAGATTAGAAATTCAGTCACAGTTTACCAATAAAGTCAGTGTAAAATGTGATCTTTGCAAACTTCTCTGTGATGTGTTGACACAACAGTGACTCACTCACTCAGGAGTAGGAGCCTGTTTTATATCTGAGTGATTCAGAGGTTAGAGTTAATAGGCTCCTAATGCCACAAAAACAAAAAACAGTCATATTTGGAAAGGGTGGAGAGAATAAAATCAGCCAACTGTGATAAAACTATGATAAAAACATACATAGAAAGGACTGTTTATTGGGTTTTAAAAAAAATGTGAAGGATTTTTTTTTTTTTACTACATTATATCGAAGTAGCATGTTCGTCTTTTGAACAAATTTAGCTCAATCTGTCCTCACATCAACACAAGCTTTTCATTATGCTGCCACCACCACATTTCCCCTTAGGGGTGATGCAATCATGGAGGTGTTCAGCATATTGCTTTGCATGTAGACCACCAAGATTCAATCCTGACAAGAGTCTTCTTCTGCTTGTTTGCTGTTCTCGGCAGAGGGTGCCTCTCACAGCTCTCTTCCAACCACAGCTTTCCCTTTACAGGTTCATATGGGGCCAATTTGCAGATGGAACAATAAATTGACAAACCTTCCCCACTTAGCTGTTGATCTCTGCAGCCTCTTCAGAGTGACTGTGAGTTGCTTGGCTGCTTCTCTGATCTATACTGTCTTTGTCAGACATGCACATTTAAGAAGACTTGCCAGGTTTTGTAATTTGACAGACTGTATTTCAAATGATGGAATGAATAGACATCTGCGAGGTAAAATCTTTTCCTATTTATTATAACTTAACCTAGCTTTAACCTAAACCACAACCTCATCCCTGACATGAACCCTTGGGTTTAGACTGAGATTAAATTACACACAGAAGGGCTCCATTTACAAGGTAGGAGACTTCAGAAGGCAGTTGTTTACACTCTGGTAATGGGCATTGAACTTTATTTTTACAAAGTATATGCAAACTTAATTGAAAGCCACATATCCTGGATAACAGACTAGACTGGACATGAAAATGTGAGGGGGTCTACAAGAAGGCTGTGGTTTCTGAGGAAGCTCAGATCCTTTGCTGATATTTTCTATAAATCAGTTGAGGGCAGCGTGACTGCTTCTGCCATCATCTGTACGGTTTGCAGCATCAAAGCAAATGATTTGGAGAAGCCTTAACAAGCTGATAAAGAAAGCATAGTTAGAGGCCTCCACCAACCTGCTGTAAGACAGACAGATACAGGAGATTATCCCTGCCTACATCTATTAACATCTACAACAACTCGTTAAAGAAACCTCTGCAAGAACTTCAACAACATATGATTGAATGCATCACTTGCTTTCAATTCACAATTTGACATTACTTTGAAATGTGATTTTGTGTCTTGTAAACGTTTTCTGACAGTCTCTTAATTTTTTTGTGTATGATAGCCTGTTATTTCAATATATTGAAGATACCAGACAATTTTCAAAGGTTTCCAAGGTGTCTGTGAGAGGAAAAGGCCTCACAGCATTACACGTCATCCACTGTTCTTATCGCAGAGCATAGATGGGACAGTCAAACTACTGAGTTACAAAAATTCATGTGCATTTCTTTTACAAAGATCTGAAAGCATTTTTTACCAAATAACAGGAAAGTGTGATTAACCAGAAATAGGATGTACTATGGCTGAGTATCTGCTCTTCTGATTTTAAAAAAAGCCTTGCTGGTTTTGTTTTTTCCTTCTGTAACACTCCTTTCTTGACCAATCCAAACCTTACCACTTGTTTCTGATTGAATAATTATTAATTAATAATAATAATAATAAATATTTTTTAAGATATTATTATAAAAAAATAAAATAAAATAAAAAAAACAACAACAAAAAAAACTATGTAATCTCTAACACTTCATTCTGTATATAAAAAAGTGGAAAAATGTGATTTCTTTTTTCACTGTTGAGTCCCCAAATAGAATATTTTTTTCCATGTAATAAATGAGGTAAACTAATAAAAACATCGAAATTTTATAGTGGGTTTCTTTTAAATTGAATGATATCAAAGTAGATTTATTCCACTTCATTGTTGAATAATGTTCCATAGTATGCTCACAATCATGTCAAATATTAGGTCAACAATGATAAAGGGATCGCTGGTTAGAAGAAAACAATTTAATTCAGTGACGATTCTTTTCTGCCTTTTAAATCGCAACAAGAAACAAACAGTAAAAGAAAAGTTATAATTTTCCGCCCTCTAGTGGTTACTTTAAAGTGTAGCAGCTTGTTGGCCGTTTGTATAACTCAATTTAACGTCCGCCTACCAGAACGCAGCTTATTGGTCAGCCGTTTCAATGGAAGCATTCGATTGGTCCAGACGTCTCTCTCGCAAGTCAACCCGGAAGACAATAAATACAGTGGAATTGTATAAGTAACCTACAGTCTGCAGCAGGTAAAGCTTTAAATACGCCCTTGAATAAATTACCATGTGGCAGAAAGAGTGTTCAAATAAGGATGAGTAGTTTTATAAGCATGAATAAAATGTTTTGTTTAAACTTTCCTCAGAAATGCCGACATCCCCTGTGAAAACTCGGATACCCCTGACCAGCTTCGGTCATCTCATCACAGAGGTGAAGGTAAGATGCTCACATATATATAAAACCAGCATTCATTTAAGACAAAACAAGTTCACCTAATAGTCTTAAGTTACTGGTGTGTTTAAATAAATTGGAATGACATCTAAAAATAGCCAATTTTAGTGAATAAAAGATAAAATCTTCATTATGCCCAGAATGCCTTTGAGAAACTATTTATTATAACTTTTAGAGAAAGAAAAAATAACATTTCACTTTGAGAAAACTAGACTAATTCATTGGGATTTGATTATAGGAGAAATGCTTTGCAACGAGCAAGTTATTCTGTACACAATCATCAAAAAACTGCTTTTCACAAGAATGGTAAAACAATAAAAGGCGACTACTTAACTCCCAGCTGTTAAGATCCTTGATCAAATGTTATGGAAAGATTAGTGGAAGGAAAAACTGTGTTAAATAGGTTCATAAAGAACAGTGATAACCTCAGCTTAGAGAGTTTTGATTAAAGCCCATGTAAGTCGCAGGAGTCAGGGCTTTAAGAGCCTTCACACTGATTTGATGACTGTACTCGGTTGGCCTAGAAAAGTCAGCAGATCATCTAAGATGTGTGTAACATTTAAGAAGAAAACAAACAGACATCAAAGTGGTCCATTATGGTAAAGCTGTCATTTCATTTGGAAACCAAAGCCTCGGCGTCTGGAGGAGAAATGGAGAGGTACAGAAACCCTGTTGCTCAAAGTCAAGTGGGAAGTTTCCAAAGTCCACAATAATTTAGGGCCAGGTGGGTTTGATGAGATCCACAATAACAGGAATAATTTACAAGGACACCCTGTCACAGCTGATATTTCTGCAACAAACTTTTTGTCTAGCTCTTACTCATAGAAAACATATTAATTGTGCAGGAATAAGGTCTTAGCTCTGTTACACTTGTAGCCAACATTTCGTTGTCAAGATTCACCTTGTGTTTTTATATGCAATGACGATAAAGGAAGTCTAAGTCTAAACATTAAGTCA